CAGGTAGTTGTAGAGAGTGATGAGGTCTCCCCTCAGCCTCCTTTTCTGCAGGCTAAACAGTCCCAGTTCCCTCAGCCGCTCCTCATCAGACTTGTTCTCCAGACCCTTCACCAGCCTCGTTGCCCTTCTCTGGACACACTCTAGCACCTCGACGTCCTTCTTGTAGTGAGGGGCCCAAAACTGAACACAGTATTCGAGGTGCGGCCTCACCAGTGCCGAGTACAGGGGCACGATCACTTCCCTACTCCTGCTGGCCACACTGTTTCCGATACAGGCCAGGATGCCATTGCCTTCTTGGCCGCCTGGGCACACTGCCGGCTCATGTTCAGCCGGCTGTCAACCAGCACCCCCAGGTCCTTCTCTGCTGGGCAGCTTTCCAGCCACTCTTCCCCAAGCCTGTAGCGCTGCATGGGGTTGTTGTGGCTGAAGTGCAGGACCCGGCACTTGGCCTTGTTGAACCTCATACAGTTGGCCTGGGCCCATCGATCCAGCCTGTCCAGGTCCCTCTGCAGAGCCTTCCTACCCTCGAGCAGATCAACACTCCCGCCCAACTTGGTGTCATCTGCATATATATACTATATATCTGTATATACTATAGTTTGGGTAAGCATGTGTTCTCTTAGTCTTCAGGAGATTGTCAAAGCAGGCAAGAAATTTCTGTAGGTGTTCTCAAGACAGGTCTGTAGTAGGAAAAAATATTGGCAGAAGAGGAGTGTCAAGCCTAACTTGATGATTTTTCCTTGTGCTCAACACCTATTGCGTATGCATGTATAATGAAGGATTTTTGCCCATTCCATGAATGGAATAACCTATACTGACAAGAAACAAATCTAAACATGATATATCAGCAAAAGGTTAGATGTGCTGCTTTCAAACACTTAACTTTCTGTTCAAGGAGACAAATTTGCCCTGTGAGTATGCAATTCATTCCACAATGTTTTCACTGCCTTAAGAAAGAAATCATACTCACTTTCCCAGTGTATTCATAGCATAATTTTATTTGAGATTTAATATCACCAAACAACAGAAATCATCCCCTTTGCTATATACTGATGCTTTGTTATTGTTAGCATGATGAAGCCATTCCTGTATTATTGAAATAAGTAGGACTTCTGCCACTTGCAGTAGTGAAAAGAGGACTGGCACTCATGTTTCCACTTTGGCTAAGGAATTGTTCCGAATCATACTGCAGGACTGATTTTTTAGCGTGGCTTTACCTCTGTCGAGGTGGCTTTCTCCTTTATATGGAAAGGTCATGTTCTGTGTTAATAAAATCTTGTATATGCTGAGCTCTTGGACTCTGAGATGGGCAAGGGAAAAGAAGCAGCTTTTTCTATTAATTTAGGTAAGTAATTCCTTTCCTCCAAATGCAAAGGTGAAGACATCACATTTTATTCTCCTATAAGGAGTCAGATCCTCTAGTCAGTAATGTTAGATTACTGAAATATCTGATCAGACTCTTCATCCCAGTGGGAAAAAAGGGTTCCTGGAGTGGAGAGCATCAAATGGCTTTCCTTGGTGTTAATACCAATATGTGAAAATTAACTTCGCTTTAATCTGTGATCTTTTAGTCATGTGGTAATTTAACAGAGAAAGTGAGGGGAACCTAAGGGACGTAAACCTGTCTAGTCCTCTAATTTACACTGTCTGAGAAAATTGTCTGTGTAATTGCAAATAGTATAATTCTTAAAGTTTACAAGGTGGAAGAGTCTCTTGGGGAAAAAAGAAGTCCAAATAAAAGGTCCAGGAGAGTTTCCTTACTATATAAGGTTCTGTCTTTATGGTAAAATTCAATGGGACGCTGAGCAAGAAGAAACCAAGTGTTAGTATCAGATCATATCAGTGTAGTTATATTGCACTGTTGTGCCAATTAATATGGGCACAACATTGCAATGCCATCGTGACATAGTTTCTTTACCCCATAAAGAAAGCTCACATTTCTGTGCAACCTTGGTTATTTCTGCTTAACACTGAGTTTTGCCAGGTAGGTATATCATCACTACCTGCCAGTTCTCCTAAATTCTGTTTTTCCTAAGGATCAATCAGGATTACATTCTAAAAGTTTTTTAAACTTTTTCCAACAAAAAGGCACTGTGGTCAGAAAATTACATTGCCTAAAATAAGCAATATTAAAGGCACAACAAGCAACCTGTCCCAGTGGAAAGCAGAGTATAATGAGGTCTGGTATGACAGCATCAGAAACTCTTTAATGCCATAGAAATTGAAAAAAAAAATCATGAAAAACCATGACTATCAATAATTATAAGGGATGGTGTGAAGAACCAAAGTCAGGATGACTACAGCATAACATGCATTAGAAGTAGGATAAGGTTTTATAAATGCATGCAAAGCAAGAGGAAAACAAAAAGGAAAGAAAAGCAAATAACAGATGACAGGGGAAGTTGCATTTTTCTTTGGTCTTTACAAAAAGTTAATAGTAGTCATCAATAAGTTAGCGGAGTTTTAACCAGAGGACAGGAGTTTAGACTATAAAAGGAAATAACGTCTTAAAGAATATTTAGAGAAATTAGGTTACACAAATTGTTAGGAAATCATGAAATTAATCTTAAAGTACTGTGAACTAGCAGCTTATCTTTAAGATCACCAGCAAGTGAAGAAAAGCAAACATAATACTTGTTTCCAAAAGAGAGAGAAAGGACATCAAGAGGAAGCCAGCCTAACTTAGATTTATGCAAGTATACTAGAATAAATAATTTAAATAACGTAATTTAAAT